AGGTATTACATGCCTAACGCAAAAGACGACTGCAATCCATCAAATATCATATTGTATTTGAACCAGTTCCCAACAACTTCGGTTGTACTGCACAATGGGATGTCTCCGTAAGGAAGTGTCGTATAAACTGTAATTAGCACTTAATTTTACATTAACTTCACATACTAAATAACTTCGTACTTTCACACAAAATGAAGTTACTTATTGAGGTCATTTCATCGGATATTGTGACCCAAAATACAATAGAGATATATTACTTCAATTGGTACTGAAAGAGTTTTTTCCATAGGGTTTCAACTACACATTATCTTAAAACACATTATTAGTTGACAACACTGTGGTGTTAAACAGTAGGTGCGGTATGTAAAGACGATAAACAACTAGGACTCATAAGATCAATAGCTATAAAAATAACTGTAAAACCTGAAGTACTAGTAGTACTATAGAAACAGTCTCAATATATTGAAGACACTTACATTTGGAGAATGTGTAAGTATTGGAAATTATATCAAATCTGGCAACGCGTGAATAATACAATGTGGGATGTGTTACTACACGAAATAAATTTTCATTCAGTCCTTTTACACCTTTCAAACGAACAGTAAGATATATAAAATTAGTTATCTTGAAAGAAAAGAATTACGGTCCTATTATAATTATATAAATTTTTTCAAGAAATCATTCTTAACTTCCATTAAATTTAGAATGCAAAAATACGGATAAAAAGGGAAAGTATATTATTATGTATATGTATAATTTTACCGTACATATGATTCTAGACGTCAGAATCAGAGAATTATATTTAAAAATATATATAAATATTATTATTAACGCATCATAACTGTTTAATAAGATACTTTTCTTTTAGTTACATAAATTTTCTGAAAATAACCCCCTCTCAGGAACTAAAATTCTGGCCACGGACGTTATAGACAAAAATCATCATATTAATTATTTATGAAAGGAAAAGCTTGTAATTAGAATAATTACTTTATCGTAAATAATTAATGTTACACAATATTATATTTTTTTTTCTCATATTTATAACACGTTAGTCTTTTTATTAAAAATATAACATTTTTACTCTATCAATACCACTTACTTGACATGCGCTATTTGTCTCCCCTAAGACATGAACGATCTTAAATGTTTTATCGTAAAAACAATTTATCACGTATGTATGTTTATGCACGTATATATTTATATTGCTTCATATAACATTATAGTTTTCAAAACATATTCAATACAATAGATTTTTTTTAAATTAAGATTTAAAACAACCGAAAATATTTTGTAATATTACTTATATACATTTTTTTTTATTATAACAACAAACACATATTTTATATTCACATGAATTATACATTAATTTCTTTCACTTACACAACCATCTGCGGGTAAAAGCACAACTGAGTGAACGCGTAAAATATTAAACAATTTACAACATAAAACACACATCAATAAAATTTCAATGCAACATTTTATTTAATTTAAATACATAACATTAATCAAATTTTTTTTAATTCTTTAAAACACACTATTTTCTCAAAATATAACCACGCACTTTTTTTATGCAAATAACCGACTTGTTTACCGCAAGAAATCAATTAAAATAAGAACAATAAGGCCGACATCAAAATTATTACTGTCTCAAACCTCATGGGAATATTGCCGATCACGTTTGATTCAATGCAAAATAACTCAAAGAGAAATAACAGGATTTCATTAACATGCAATTGGCATTTAATTGGCACATCACCGCACATTAAGACAAGAAGCAGAGCAAAAATAACTCAAGAAGAAGAACAGAGTTATTAACAAATACACTCATTTTTTTATACAAAACTTACTAAGCAAAAAATCACCAAAGCTTAGTGTTATTATTAATTAGTATTTATTATTCTTTGGCACTGTACAGGGAAATGAACAGTGATTTAGTCCCTTAACATGTACTTTACAGTATGTTATTTGCAGAAACTAAATATTGGTAGGAAATTAAAATATTTCACTGATTTACACGTACAAAATAAAAATAGCTAGATTTTAATGAACGGATTTATACACTTTGGGACACATTATTATATTATATTAATTTTATTATATTATAATAAATAAAATTAAAAATTTGTTAATTAAATTAATTTATTAAATTAAATTATTTATTAATCAATCAATGATTTTTAATTAATAAAAATAATTATTTTAAAAAAATTAGAGCTATATAAAATTTTATTTGCCTTGTTTATTTATTTACTATCAATAAGATATTATTAATATATAATAAATATCATATATAAGATATTATTTGACTTGAGAAGCACACCTTTTTGATTTAACAGATATCTATAGTAAAATAAAAGTTCAAATAATTTTTTAATATTTATTAATCTTAAATTAAAAAAAATTTAAATCCAGAAGTAAGTAGTAAATTAAAAATAATTTTATATGTAATAAAATAAAAAATAAAAAATAAATAAATAAATAAATAAAATAAAATAAAAAAAAATTAAATAAAAAAGGTAAATAAAAAAAACTTATAAAAATAATACTTCAGCAGACGTAAATATGCATGGTGTCGTTTATTTCTTTTATGTATATACATATTCATATTATTATACTGACTGATAATAATACTGACTGACTTCGACTGCGCTTAAAAAACCGACATATTCAAGAAAATTAAGCCAATTTCTAAGTACGACACTCTCATACAGTCAAATTCGGTATAAATCACAATTACCTTATTCACATAATAAACTATATTCTACAATTTACACCTCTACATATAGTGATAGACTATGAATCTATAAAATGCACTTAGGCCATCTTTAAAATTTGGCAACCCTGCTTCTTATATTTAAAATATCCTATATGAAGACATTTCTCTACTAAAATTTTTAATACTCTAAAATTTCTTAACAGAAATAAATTGAAGAAAATAGACTTTTGAAAAACATCTTACACATGTATTTAATTATTTAATTATTTAATGTCTGTGATGAAAATGAGCAAAGTAGAGCCGGCTAGTAGAGACTCATTTACTATGTAATCCTTTTAATAAAAAATTTTGAGGCAAAATGGATTTCCAATACAATTTGTGCTATAGAATTCTTGAAAATAAGATTAAAAAACACCAATATTGCAATGTATTCGGATAAGCAAGTTCTTAATACGGCGTTTACATTGGCCGAAAATGGCTCATTTTGGTCAAAAATCGAAAATGAGTATCGAATGGCGCATTCTTGCATATAAAATTTCAAGCACAAAAATGAGCAATTTTCTCACATTCTGTATGAATGACGTTCGAATGCATTCCACATACGTTCCAAATGCAAAGGAATCCATTGAACATACCCTAAATGAAAGCTCTTCATGGCATTTTGACAGTTTGAAAAAGCTGTTTTTAACATATTTACAAAAAAAGGTAAACAAATGTTTGGTGGTTGCATTTTCTTGAAAACGATGCACTGCTTTTTAGAACTTTTACTTCCCAAAAAGTAATTAATCGAAGTTAAAAATATGTTTTAAGTTTCTAATGTAAGGTTTGAAGGCATATTTAACCTTCATGCAACATTTTTTTGGCACAGGCCAAAATCAAATCAACAAGCAAGTTGAAAAATCAGCTGTTGAAATGAGAACAAATGAAATAGAACGAATGTAAACACTTTCAAATGGCTCATTCAAAATGAGCCATTTTCGGCCAATGTAAACGCCATATAAGAAATCTCTTCAATCTTGAAGCCGTTATTTCAAATTGGCCTGTCGGGCCATAAAAAATTTTCTGAGTATAATATATTGAAGAACTTTCTTAATATATATATATATATATATAACATATATACATATATATATATAGCGTTGTATATTTTATTCTGTTTCAACCAAAATATCATTGGAATCAATTCAAGCTACAAGTCGCTATAGTATATTAATATATATATAATGCTAAACATATATCATAATGATTTAATAATTCAAGCAACCTTTGAAAAATTAAAATAAATTCCAAATATTAATTGTCAAAGAAAACTGATTTTTCATATAGTATGTCATGATATAAGTATAAAAAGTTACTTAGAAAATATTTTTTAATTATTTTTATTATTATTTCCAAATCTCGTTTCTGTGTTTGATTTATTGATGCTCGAAAAATTCTTTGTGACTTTTATTAGACGTTTTCTATACGTTTATTAGACACAAATTCTGGAATAATTACAAGATTTTGAAGAAATTCAATTTTATTGTGAGATACAAATTGTACGTTTTGAATGAAATTTTGTAAGTACTATTTGCATTAAGAAATTATTATTTTTTAATACAATAATGTAACCGTTTAAATAATTTTAGTCAAAAATAGTCTTGTTAGTGCTTATGAAATCAATTTATTATAATCAAATATAAATAATTTCAAAGGTTTCTACAAATTTTACAAGCGAACAAATATTTTATTAGAATATTTTGATTCTAACAAGCTTTGCTATAAGTTTGAATAAATGTAAACTAATTCATATTTAAAACAATTAAGATTTATTGGTTCCCTGATATTTTCAGCACTCCACATAATAAATAAATTATTTCTAAATTCGGTCAATCTGAAATAATAATATTTTGGTACCCCACAAATTTTAGTTATTGTCTATATATATCGCTCTCTACACTTTTAATTCATTATTAAGTATATATTGTCCAACCCAACCTATGTAATTTCGTAACTGAACAATTCGTTTTCATAGCATCCGCTCTAATCTTGTTTATCTAAAATAATAATAGCTAATGGGGTCTATTAACCCCATATAATTCCGCGCTCATATGTCATCTTTAAGACTGAACCACCTGTTGGATCTAACATAACAATGTAGCATTTGCTTCCTTAAAATTTTTTATCTATTCTTTAACTCAAGTGTTGCCATAATAATGACTTGATGACATAAAATTACTACTATATTGAAATAGCAACTTATCTTTATGCAATACATTCAAAACAAATAGCGTTCATTTAATTGTATCTTTCTCTCTCCTCTCTCTTTCTCTCTCGCATTCTCTCTCTCTATCTCTCTCGCTCTCACTCTCTCGCTCTCTATTTCTCTCACCCTCTCTCTCTACTCACTTTCTCTCTCCCTCTTTATCTTTATCTCTCACTCTTTTGCTTCGGCAAAAATATAATAAGCACGTTTGAGATTTGAAAAATTTTTTCTGTACAAAAATTATTTCAAAAAGATATTATTTCTGTAAAAAAATATCCTATTTTTTTCTATAGTCATGTGCGAGTTTGAATAAATTGCTGGTAAAGTGAGGGAAATAGTAATTTATGTCGGTATAGCAGCGAATGGTGCTCTTTACCAGAATTTCGACTAGGGTAAATGAGATAAAAATTAGGTAAATTAGGTATTACAATTGTAGAAATTTTGTAAGATGTTTAATAAATAAATAAATTTCAAAACTTTTAACCAAAAATTATAAATTAGTGCAATAAATAAATAAATAAATGTTTATATACCTAAATGCAGTGCAACAAATCGCTAGGAAATTTCAATTTACTTTATCTCAATTAACTCGGACTCGCACACGGCCTTAATAAGACAGAAGATGTGGAACAGTATATAACAATTTCATTATTTAAATAATACTACTTTCTTTTGCTGACCATACATAGTGCATAACTTTTTTAACACTTAGTTCTTTCAATAACATAATATTATATAAGGCCTTAAACCCCACTCCGATCGATATTTTCTTTTACTTTTTGCAGCCTCAATATTTTTACTAAATCAGTATATAAAATTATATTAGTTTTATAGTGCACAGTTGAATCTATAAATAAATTTGATTGTTTAAGATAATAATATGTACAATAAAGTTCGCGCTTCAAAAAATTACCATTTTCTAAAAAGGAGTACCAGAGTAGCATACGGAAAAAAAGTACCAATTTTGTTACTAAAGTACCACATGTGGCAACCGTGCATATAAGTTTCTTTCGGTTTCCGATTTCCGTTTCGGTTTTGTTTCGGAGCTCTACTTTTACTTTTATAATTCTCCTCGTCTTTAAGTAATATAGTCAATATAAGACTATCAGATTTATTGTGGTTGTATAATATTAATATAAAGTTTTAGTAAATTTGTGTCTACACTGATATTGAATATATTCCATGGTTTTAAACTTGATCAGTATTTTTTATTAAATAATTATACTGGAACAGACCATTTCCGAAAAGTTTAATATTTGTAGGACAAATCTTTAGTAGTTTTAAAAATAAATTAACATATAATATGGCATTAAATTTTTTCCTAACTGATTAAATGTTGTTTTTGTTTCAGATATATATATTTCCACTTAAATTATCTGTAATGTGAAATTGTTAGTGATATGAAATTGCTATTCAATAATTTCAGGATAATTACAGTATTCATGACAAATTTCAAGTTGTGGTGTCAAAGTGAAAGTTAAGGATATTTTTAAGTAAGTACTAATATTGTAAGTTTTATCCAAAACAGTTTTGAAATATATTTCTCTTCAATAAGTTTTATTACTTAGTAGTATTTGTATAATCGAATTTATATATAGATCAACTTCTTCAAAAAAGTTATTTATTTATAATGTAAAGTTAATTTTCCTTAATAATTTTTGAGGAAACACCTTTAGTCTCACTACTGATCAGTCAGATTTAGCCAAACAAGTCTAAATAAATATCTACCAAATTAAATAAATATTAAATAAAACCAATAGAACAAAACCCCTTAACTTAAATTTCCCATAGAGTCGAATTCCAATTAGTTAGTAGGGATAACTTCTCACAACATCTGCTTCAAACGTTAATCGAACATTGTTATTGATTTTGATATTACTCAATATATTAAACAAATATGTGGAAGTAATATTATTATTATTATAAAACCGCGAGGCTTTCAGTTTCGTTACCATGCAAGAGTTTAGTAGAGTTCATTAAGAGGCAATACTGCCTCTTAGTAATAAAAGTCAAAATTTGCATAGTTTAGGAGCAAATATATATTTTTTTTTATATATAATATATAAAATATATATATTTTTGTCCTAATGTACTTAAAATAATACCTTTTAAATTTAAGCAAACCAAAAAGTATCAAAATAGAAACTGACGAATTGTGATTTGGCTCTCTCCAAACCATGCCTCTATCGACATAACCAGAATTAGCGAAAGACTTACGTCCCCATTCATCATATAATCACGGTTGCCACTTGAAAATTTTTTTCTGTACCAAAATTGGTTTAAAAAGGTACCATTTCTGTAAAAAAAGGTCCAAAATTTTTTTGGACCTTTTTGTTTTTTCGTTCTGTATTTCGTTCTGTATCATAGTGTTATAAATGAACAAAATATAAAATAGTGCAAAGTTGCATTAACAAAAAAATTAATTGGAAATATCCACAATAAAGTTGGGTCGTCAAAAATGTACCATTTTTTTAACATGAGTACCAAACGAAAAAAAAAGTACCAGTTTTGGTATTAAAGTACCATAAGTGGCAATCGTGCATATAACTATTTACTTAACATCACTCTCATCACTTTTTATCTCATCACTCAATTCCACACTATTAATATTTTCACCTTTAAACTATAATATATTCGCTTATCTGATATATATAGTATGTCATGAAATCTAAGTTGATTTCAAGAAAATATTTACCTTATCATTTTTCTTAATTGTATAATTTTTATGTATATAAAATTTATTGTTTCAAAATTGTTTAAGAAACACGTCTTTATAGCTGGATCACTGTGACCATAATTCCAAGGAATGTGATTTTGTGGACAGCAACGAGTTGGTAAGTTGAGCAAACATTAAATTACTTTATATCAACTTTTATTCCACTTGATATTTTATATTACCACTGTCAGCGCAATGTTTTGCAATAATTATGATATTAGGAGCTTTTGCATTTCTAAGGATATTTATTTTTTTACAACTTTTGCAACTACTGTACCAATTTTACTTACTTTTTAAATGGTTAAGGATTATCAAACCATATAAACCATTTTTATTCCTGATTTGGAAGTAAGAGAGCAACTATCTGCGCATCAGTTTATGAATAAAATTTAAAGATATGTTTTATGACGATATTTTTATAAATGGTCAATTGGAACGAATAACAATTAATACCTGGTTATATCATTGAAAAAAATATTAATTGGCGAAAGAGATTTTAAAAGCTTCAGATCCATAGAGGCTATTGCAACGGCAGACAGTGACATCATATCAAAATCATGCAATGTACGATATTTCTTGTTCTCACTCCGTATATTAAAGAGATTCCATAAGTCTCTAAGTCTACTACAGTACTAATATTTATCTGAAGTACTGTGACCTTATGCTTTAATATGAGTAAATCAAATCCACAAATAGTAATAAGGTCAATACAATTGGATTTTGCATTAAAGATACGTTCAAATGAGATTATCCAATCGGTTAATGAGACACCTATCAGTGTGATGAGTATTGAAATTCTTACAATGGTATTGCTAACTATTTCTTGATATTTTATAACGAATTATTTGTAAAGCACAATAAAGATTCTTTGATCAGTTATAATAGCCTACACCAGTCGGTAGTATTAGCTGTTATACTGTTATAGATATTATACTAAAATTAATTTATTTTAACCTTTTAAAAAAATTTTTTTTTTCATTATAAATCATAGATGTATTTTACGAAACTAGAAATTGTTTCAGAGACACATTGCAGAGAAATTTGGATTCCAGAATATTATCGTTATTTCTGAAAATAACTGATTGTATATTGGACAATACTTTGGAAACTTTAAATAACTGAGTAAGTATTAATATTTATTATTTAACAATTTAAAAGTATTCAGATAGGCAGAATATTAATTAACAATATGAATTAACTTATAAATCTAATATAATTTTAACACTCTTAATATATTTGTGTTGTTATATACGTAAAGTCTTAGTTGAATTCGAGAACACTATTCCATGTGAGTCCACTAAGCTGTCTTATTTGATCAAATCAATTTTTTAAACAAATTAATTGAATATCACTTTTATATGTGATATTCAGTGATATATCACTTTTATAGCCACATAAATGACAACCCAACTAATTAACTACTGTACTATGTTAATTATGGTATTAGCAGGATAAGCAATTTCTATTATTTACGTTGAGAGAATTAATTGTGATATCTGGGTTTGACTTTTCATACCAAATTCAACTGAAAGGAACATGTTTGACAGATGTATGCAACTTAAAAAATCATTAATGAAGATCATTATGGAAGCAATGTGGTATTGCATCAATGCTTTAACGATAGCATGTACCGATCAGATCAGGATCGTGCAGGAGTTTTCATGGAGTGATAGTATCCACAAATCACTTTCTATGTCATTGTATGGGATTACAGACGAAACAACCTCAAAGTCTTAGACACGGTTTCTTCACTAACCTGAAAAATATAATAAAAACAGATTCTTTTAAAACTCTTCAGCTTTATCTGGAACACCAAATACTAGTAGTTTAATAAAAACAATATTAGAAGATAGCGGTTAGTGTAAGTCAACTTTTAGAGGCAACCTTACGGGTATCACATTGGACAATGTTTACAAGTATAACTACTGATACACGCCCTTGCAATCTAATCTAACGTAAGAATAGTGTATGATGCAAGAACAAAATATTACTTTGTAGAGAAGTGATACCTGTAATGGAGTTTGACAGACTGAGAAAATGGATGTAAGAGTTCGCTGTAAATGCTTAAGATGTTGAATGTAAGTTTCAGCAATAGACTATATGCCGACAATCTACTAAAGGTATGGGCTTGCAGCAACAGAAATGATTATGTGTCTATAATGGTAACAGAACTCCAGTCTTGCAGCTCCAGTGTATTAAGTTCAACCAGTGACTGGAGGCATGTACACCAAAATAAGATTGAATGTGATATGTGATGTACAAACCTTTTATTATGCTTACGTAGCATTAAGTAAATCGATGAGTTTTTACCTTAGATCTCTCTTTAGTAAAGATCTTCAGATTTACTAAAAGTTGGGGTCGAGAAGATTTCTAAAAGTTCTATAGTGTGTTTTTTTTAAATTTTTTTTTTCTTTACTTTTTTCAGCAATAGTTGCTTATTCAAATCCAATACTAAGTAGTCTAAAAATACATAGTACCCTAAATCATTCTGCTATTATATATTTGTAACTGAGATAGTTAGTAATTCATATACATGTGTAATCACTTATTTATGGAAGTTTATGTGCTTGAAATCCAAGCCAAGACAAGAGATATATCGTTTAGTATAGTTAACATTTATACAAACCTATAAACCTATACATATAAACCCATTTCTATTTTGTTGACTTTTACTTTAAACTTGTGTAAAGTATCATACATGCTATTAGTTGGTAAAAACTGATAGTTAAGTGAAGAAAATAAAATTCAATCCAAAGCCTTCTCTAACTAATGTTAATTGCTATCAATAAATATTTGTCTATCATTAAAGTCTCTATGTGAAGGATATATTTCACAATAAAATAACTTCCACTATTTCTAGTAAATAATATCACGAACATAAAAAATGATTTAGATTAACAATTTTATGCTTTTAAATAAGTTTTATCTATATTTTTTTGCTTTTTTTTTGTTTTTGTTGTGAATTCCGTAATCTGACTTTTATAATAAACGCAGCCACTTGTCATCTCTGACACCTCAAACAGGTACTTCACAACATTGGAGTAACACTTCATGACTGCTAACATCACACCAGTTCTTAAGCATCGTAAAAGTAAGCACTAAGCGCGGCTTTGCTTACAAAGTATTTATTATTAATAGTAAGAATGAAAAAACTAAGGCAGCAAGAACAAGAGAAGAAAAATTATAAGCCTAGTGAAACCAGATTTGTGGTTGCAATGTTGAAGTAGAAGTTGCACAAAAGAAGTGCCAAAGCACATTTTAGATATTTACCTCTATAATAATCATCGCTGAGATACACAAACACCGGCACAGACGGAGGCACCGAGAAAAAGTGTTTTAAGTCTATAATGACAGTAAACTGTGTGATGAAATCAGACAAAAGCCAGAACGGTTAAGAACAAACACAAACTGAGGCTGAAGAAAAAAATGATAATAAAGTAAAAAAGAAAAGAAAACAGTTAAATCAGCAAAAGTTTTAAACGTGAATGAAGTGAAAAGTGTGAAAAAAGTATCTTGACGGTTAGTAATTTAGATAAAATATAAAAAATAAAAAAAAATTAAAAAGAAAATGCCATATCATGGAGACGTCTGAAACACACATTTTACCGTTTGAATGGTTCGAATTTGAATATCGGCATTAGAAGAACTCCAAGAACTCGACAACTCTAAGAAGAAGTTTAGAGGCACAAACAAAAAAAAAAGACAAATAATTGAAATGAAGCTAAAATTTCAGGCAAAGCAACTTTTTGTGGATTGCAATAGACATGACGGCGGCAATTTTGTGATGACACTGAAGTTAATAGAATAATTCTATTTCACTAGAACTTTATAACCAAAACATAGAGACGTCGATTGCTATAGATAGATTCACATTTCACTTAATTTCTTTAAAAAGTTGTAATCTTTCCTGATTTTTGGCCTATAAATCCTGGTAATATAATGTAAAAAATGTGTTGATTTATATGAAAGCTTAAGTGAAAGAGTTAGTATAAACATTTGTTTTAAGTTCTTTAATAAGTATTTATTTCTATAATTAACTAAATCATCATAGAGGTAAAATATGGTGCTACCAACATTACAAGGTTTTTTAAATTCTTCATCAAAGCGGGATTAATAACAGCTAATCTTGTAAACAATGCATTAGGAAAATACAGTATAATGTACAGTGCAATTATATATACAATATGTACTATATATATTACATAAAGGACTATATACTTAAAATTTATACAATTGAATAACGTATCAACAAAAAGTGAAGTTAAAACAATCACTTAATATATGTGCATTCCTCAAGCAAAATATAATTTTGTAGCTATACAATTATGCAGTATACAGTATAACTGTGTATAGGTTTTTCTTTTACAAATCAGACGGATTTGTCAAAAAATGTCCTAATCATCTCTGATTTGACTGAAATTTTTTTATGCGTTCCTTTCATAAAATCAGAAGACTCGTATCTCGAGAAAAATTTTGAAATTTTTGAGATATGGATCTATGCATGAGGTTTTGACAATTAGCATTGTAGACACAGTTTTAAACGGCCATATCTCAGGCTCCATAAATGCTGAAAACTTGAAATTTGTTACGTTTTAGATATAATTGATTTAACCTTTAAAAAATAGTTTAAATAATAAAAATGGTTAATATTTAAGTACTATTATTAAACATTAAATTTAAAAAAAAAATTTTTCGCAGTATATAGAGACAATTTTTATTTATTATAAATTATTTAGAGTCAGTATTAAATTTTCCTGGGAAATAAAAACTTTAAATAGGACATAATTTTTTTGAATTTTTCAAAATTTTTGTATTTTGGTATTCTAAGTCTACTACTTTGTAGACTTCGATAATGGTATATAGGTCAAAGTGATAAGCCAGACCATGAATCCGATTAGCAATTAGAATCCGTAATTAGAGATTTCAATAATTTTAAACCAATATCTTCAACTGTACTAGCCTAAGTACTGAAAAATTTGTCTCTTAAATATTCAAGTGAACTTTTAAATCATACAAGATAAAAACTAATATTGTAAATTAAATTGTGATACTGTAATATTGTGAATTTAAGCTACTTCACCTTTAGCAGATATTTCGCTTCCTTATGAACTACTTAATTACACTTCATTATACCAATATATTTAACAGTTCTTCAATCACAACCAATAAAATTATATTTGGTGATCTGCCGCATCCAAATACTTGTAACATTTTTTTAATCAGAAACAGAAATGGTCAAATTATACATTAAATAAAAAAATAATTACTTTTTTAAACAATCATATTATAATTAATTTTTCGTATTTAATTAACAGCAATATTATAAACTAACATAGTGTATGATGTTATATTAAGTGAGGTCGATAATGGGCCATCACAACTCGGAGAAGGTTGATATACAACCTTTTAACTACACACAATCTTAGAAGATTATCCCGAATTACTTTACTAATATATTGTCTCATTATTATATCACATAATGATTATCCCCAACCCAACAATACAAACAATACAAAACCATCAAATTTACTTACGACTATTAAAAGCCTATTAATCAATTAAAACAAATGATTTTTGCACAATAGCCCTTATCGTGGTCTGTGTAATTATAGTATTAATTAAAAAATAATAATTTCCAATCTAAGATTTAAACATCTAAGGACAGGTTTTGAGATTCAAAGCATTGTATAACGATTTTTGAAATTATAATCTGCTACATATATATATATATAACAAATATTTGTTATTGTTTGGGATAGTTGTAGTTATATTTTCTCCTTTACAATTTTCATATTAAATTACTAATTCAACACACTTCGGTGCAACAGATACGCTGTGAACTATGTCAATTCTATGTTTTTAATAAAATCACCACACAACGATACATCATCTGTCTTCAGTTGTGCATTCTTAGTCTACAAGTTTCTCTATTCCAATTCTAACCCAGAAGAATGATTATTTTTTTCTACTTTTGCGGTTTGTATGTCAACGTTTCATGTATTTTTGCTTTATTCAATTCATTTCATTCTATATTATCTATGATAAGGTTGACTTTTTTATAAATAAATATTGCAAAAAGTAAAATTATTACTCGTAACTTGGAAACAAAGCAGAGA